AAAAAAAGAAAACACACGGGGGGGGGGGGGGGGGGGGGGGACACAATGGAATCTTGAAATTTGCAGGAAAATGGATGGAACCAGAAGAAACTATTCTGAATGAGGTAACCCAAAAAGACAAACATGGTATGTACTCACTTATATGTGGATTTTAGACATAGAGTAAAGGATTACCAGCCTACAATCCACACTGCCAGAGAAGCTAGTAAACAAGGAGGACCCTGAGAGAGACATACATGGTCCCCTGGAGAATCAGAAAGGGTCAAGATCCCCTGAGCAAATTGAGAGCACAGGAAGAGTGGGGAGGGAGCTACAAGAATGAGAAGGGAAAAAGAGGAGGGATGCAGAGGACATGAGGGAGCAGAAAGGTTGAATCGGGAAGAATAGAAGATAACAAGAATGGAGATACCATAATAGAGGAGACATTTTTGGTCTACAGAGAAATTAGGCACTAGGGAAATGTCTGGAGATCTACAAAGACGACACCAGCTAACAATCTAAGCAACAGAGGAGAGGCTACATTAAATGCCCTCCCCTGATAATGAGATTGATGACTGACTTATATGCCACCCAGCAGCCCTCATCTAGTAGGTGGTGGAAGTAGAAGCCGACACCCATAACTTGTCAGTGAACTGAAGTGGAATCCAGATGCAGAGGACAAGTGAAGAGAAAAGGGGTCCAGACCAGGCTGGTGAAACTCACAGAAGCAGCTGACCTGAGCATCGGGGAACTCTTGCTCTCCAGACTGATAGCTGGGATACCAGCATGGGAGTGATCCAGACCCCAGGAACATGGATTTCTTGAGGAAACCTCAGAAATCTACAGGACCTCCTGTAGTAGTTCAGTACTTATCCCTAGTGTGGACTTTGGGAGCCCATACCACAAAGAGGAATACTCCCTGAGCCAAGACACACGGGGGTGGGCCTAGGCCCTATCCCAAAGGATATGATACACTCTGAGGACACCCTAAGGAAAGCCTCACCATCCAGGGGGAGCAGAAAGGATATGTGATAGGTAGGGCATTAGTGGGGGGTGGTACTAGGGGAGGACAGGAGGGAGAAGTGAACTAGAATTGTCATGTAAAACAATCTTGTTTCTAATTCAAATAAAACAAATCTGAATAAAAGTGGTATTTTATCTGTCCTATAGGATTCTTTTTTAGCTTCTCTATCATTGTATGGTTTCTAGAATCTAAACACATCTAGATAATTACTGGCATGCTGAGGGTGTTTGTTTGTTTCTTTCCAAAAGTCAAAAGCCTCATTAATTCCTTCCATCTCTTCTACAAGGAAGCATGGTGTCCAACTGAATTGGTCATTCATCTTCTTCAAAACCTGGCTTTCTCATGTGCATCAAAAGACTCAGCTGGTTCTTAAGATCCTTCCCAGGATGGGACAGGAGAATGCTTCTTGGGCATGCCAAGTACACAAACGGATGTTCCCCCCTCCATCTACCCCTGCTCCATCCTTACTTCTCAGGCCACCACTAAAAGTACAAGCCAACTAAGTTGTCTCTGAAACTAAAGCCAGTCAGCTTAGGGTAATCCCCTTGGGTACCAGTTCTTGCCTTGTGAGTTGGCATTCTAGGTGAATTCCACATGGTGAGAAGTACTAACCCAGCCCAGATGACTGATATGAGGAGGTGGCTGCACTGAGCATCCTTGGCTGCTAACATAGAGAGCGTGGCTGGGCTGCACCCTGTTCCCGAGACATTATAATCCCATCTAGAGACAACATAGCAATCCCAAGACTTAAAAAATGCCCAACAATGAGTCATTTTTTTTCTTATGGTGAATGTAATGAAACCTTGTAGTCACAGGCTCTTTCTTGGGGGGAATGTCACAGTAACTTACACATTATCAAATTAATTTTTAAAAAGCAGTTGTGAAATTCCAGCTCAACTTGGCCATGCTGGTTAAGCAATTTTGGCTTTGGCTGGGGGTTCTTGAGGTGAGTGAGTGTTTGCTTTGTGGCTTGGTCTGCTGAGGAGCACACAGCCAAGATGGTTAATCTGGGTTTTCTCTTTTTTTTTGCTGACATAAAGGTTTTACCTGAGCCACAGTGTTTTTTTTTTTTTTTTTTTTTTTTTTTTTTTTTTTTTTTTTTCCTGGTTCTTCCTGAGGCACAAAGGCAAAGGCAAAACAAAAACAAAGCCCAAGGAAACCACAAGCCCACTTCTTGTTTCTTGAATGTTTAGTGGTGAGGAAGGAAAGAAGGTTTGCTAGTTCCTTTCCTGGGATGTGCTTGCTGCTTCTGGGAGTTGTCACTCATATCTTTGATTCTTTTCTTTTCTATCCCACAGGATTCACAACTGTGCCTGTGCTGTCTGCAAGTTTCCACTTCTCTGGAGCCATGCTCTCATTCTCATGGACACTTCATGACGCCATTGTGTCCACCATCTTTGATGGAAAGTACAGCCCTTCTTGAGAAGGCAGCTGCTCCACAGCTAGGCAAGCCACTCTTTCCAATCCTCCTTAGAGAACATTTGATGTACATTTGCAGTTGTTCTGAAATTTGAAGAAACAAATGATCAATATGGCCATAAATATTTACCAAGCCCTTAGCTTCATCTGTCCTACCAGAGGTATGGAAAAGCAAGGATCTCAACATGACCAAATATTAGATGGAGAAGTTCCTGGGCTTCAGGCTCCAGGGAGAGCCTGGCGTAGTTCTGAGAGGAACAGGTGGGCAGGAATTTTAGCCTTAGAGGCTTGCTGCAGAATGCAAATTTAGTCCAAGTTTTGACTTGGAAAATAAGGTGAGTTTGCCATCTCACTCTTTAAAACATTTACTTACTATCATATATGATTAACATGTCAATTATTCTCATGAAATAAAGCTGATGCCCCCACCCCCTGGAAAGTTCTTCTTGGATTCTTTGTATCTATCCAGCAGTCTGTATGGACTACACTAGTATGCTGGCTCCAGTGTGAGGGTAGGAGGCCAGGAACCAAGAGAAGCTTGCATCTGAAACGTCCCATTCCCCACTTGCCAGACACGCATGCACTTGTCCTTGTAGACCCATGTGACCCACAATTTCACTCAATAAGAACCCCATTAGATTTCAAAGAAATGTTTGTGCTCTGCCTTCAACAAGCTCCTAATGTGTAGAAACAAGATTACAATGTGTCAGACAACTGGTACCTGGACTTATTCACAGAAGGGGTCCCTGATGACCACTTTGGACACTTGGGGCTGTTTCTGAGTGGATGGTAGAGTTTGTGTGCTGAAGGGGGTTCAGGGAAAAGAAAGATCAATGTGGAGGGGAGCAGGGGGAGCAGGTACTAGAGTTGAGTTGGTGGGAAGTTTCCTGTCGATGACGGAAGCAGTGCAGTTGTGGCGATGGTCAGCAAAGATATCAAGGATGTAAGGACAGGAGCTTTGTAGCCTTTCTGAGACATCTTAGCTGTGGGTGGGGTAGTGCATTTCAAATAGGAATGCTGTGGGTAATACACTCAATTTCTCCCTCATGGTTCACTCTAAGCAGAGGAAGGCTTTGAAGACAGTATGGCTTTCATGTCACACTACCTCATCTTCATGTCACAAGAGCTCCTTCTTGAACTGTAGCTTCTCTGTCTGTTCTCTTGGCCAACACCCCCTCAGGATTCAGTCACGCTCAGTCAGCCTTCATGTGTATTATGAGTCAGTTCTCTGAGGTACCGTGATACTTGGCACCAGTCATTCCCACTAGAAGAAATAATAGACTCATCATCTTTGTTCCCGAGTACAAGAGTTTGGTGGTAGGTCTCTTTCTCTCTTAAACTATTATCTATTCCAGGAACAAAGTAAGAGCTGGCTGTGTGGATTATTATAATCCAAGAATAAACATGAAGACAAAAAAGACTGGGCTGGCTTTGGCACAAAATAAAATGTCTGGAGTAATTTGGAAGAAAATGCTGAGATTGTTGACTTCTGGTCTTCAGGTAGAACTGTGTCTGAGGAGACTAACAGAGCAGGTACCAAATGTTAGTAGGATCTTGTCCCATAACTTCCCTCTACCCACCCTTATGGGGCAGCTGCACTTTTACAGATGGGAAAAAGTCCCATAAGAAGTAGAGAAAGATGGCCCCTGTTTTCATACATTCATCCTTGCCATGAGTGGGAGGGAAAGGGTCCACTAGGTTCTTCCAATACTTCCCAGATTCCTTGGCCATGCTTCCTTGGACATCATGGCAAAGGAATAGTTATTCTTTATTCTCATGCTACACACTCAGCTGAGGGTATCCTGCTTTCATGGACCAAGTGATGGAATGTGTCCAAGCTGGGTGGAAGTGGGAAAGGCATTCCCTAGAACACAGAAGACAGGATTCCCATGTTCCTGATCCCTATTCAGTGCCCATAGCCAATGGGTGAAGCTTTGTCCAATGCAGTGTTGCTATGAGCCTCGAAGCGACAGAAAAGCCTGAGTTAAGTGTGTCTGGAGAATCAACTATAGTCTTTATAGAATCTAGATTACTGTGGACACCTGCAGACTCAGAGAACCAGGGTACTTAAAAGACAGTGTTCGGGACTCCCCCCAAGCTCTCACTTGCATCAGGCTACAAGGCTGTGGGATGTAGTTTTGCTCTGTGTATTGGTTTCTTCTCTCCTGTGCTGTGGTTGTTTAGGGCAGGGGCAATATACTCCCTATATTACCCACAATGCTGAATGCTTTGTCTTGTATAAAGAAAGAATCATAAATACCTGTGAGCTGGATGGACAAGTACATTGAGAACATTATTTAAGAACCATTCTACAGCTGGATGTAGTGACACACCCCTTTAATCCCAGCACTCATTTCTGTGAATCCCAGGCCAGTCTGGTCTCTGTAGAGAGTAACAAGACAGCCAGAGCTACATAGTGAGACCTTGTATTGATTAAAAAAAAAAAGACACCAAAATTTATAAAAAGAAGAAGTTTGTGAGTGGAAAGTCTGGCTAGCATCTAAGACATTTTTTTCTGCCTTATAAGACACTAAGAATTTTCTGGAGAGAAGAAAAATACTCCCCATGACTTTAGATCTTGTCAGTATGGAAAGCATTGGCTCTCTGTTGCCAGTGAGGACATCACCACAGATCAGTGTGCTGAGTGTTTCTAGCAATAACCCCAGGCCCTGTTCTGAGAAAGTACTATGGACCAGAGGGAAGGAGAGCAGAAAGATGGAAGGAGCCCTCAACTACTCACAAGCAAGCCTAGAATGCCTAAAAAGTTATGGAATGCAATTCCTGCCACATTATTATGGGTCTAGCTAGCCCCTTGGCCTGACTTGCTACTTACTAAGGCTTGAAAGAAAGGCACATAGCACACAGCATGACAGAAACAAGGAACAGGGAAGGATTGGAATACAGAGAACACAGGGGTACAAAGGAAACCTGTGGGTCCCTAAGGAAACCTTGCTGAAAGAACACAAGTTAGAACATGAGTGGGAGCAGGCAGGACCGTGGTCAGGAGAGGTGGACTGTGAGAAGACAGATGAGAGAACCCTTGAGGAGAAGCTGCAGGGGCAAAGAGGTGGAAGCAGAGGGAGTTAGCAAGGAGCAAGGATACACAGGCAGATTATGTGGGGCAAGGCGGAGAGGTCCAGGAGAAAGGGTTGCTGTCAGCCGAGAGGTAGGAAGCACTAAGATGTATAATGGAACCCTTGTTCTCAGTAATGATGGTGTGGGTTTCACCATCTCTGAGAAAAGTGGGGGTACCAAACTAAAGGCAAATTCTACTAAGAATTTTCATGGCATGTTCTCACAGCCAAAGACCATAGATAATGCAAAGGGAAGACTTGTCCAAAGGGCACCTAAAAATAGCACTTGCATTTTTTAACCCCATAAATAAGTTTTCCCTATTCATTTTGGAGAAAGTCTTCACTTTTTATGAAAATTGAGAATAGTAAATGCACCCTTAAGCCTTAGAAAATAAGTTACAATTTTAGTTTCTCACTCTGTCACTTTTCAGTGGTATAGCCTTGGGCAAATTGCTCAATATCTTTAAACTCCAGATTCCTTATCTGTAATGGAGAAACCATAAGATGCCCTTCTTGTAATTGGGGGATGGCTGCTGAGCAACTGCAAGAGAGTCTGGGGAACATGGCTGTTGGGAGCATCAAGCTCAACCCGTACTGCTCCCCTTACCCACAGTTGGTTTCACTGTTGGGGGATTGGTAGAGTCTGAGAAATGAATTTTTATGAGACGGCAGAAGGGAAAATAGAAAATGATGTAGCTTCCAATTGACTTTGTCGCTGATTGTTGGCTAACTCTGGGCCAAACCCTGCTCTTTAATGAATGGGAGTGTGAAATTTATTAAGATTAATGACTGTCACAGCTGGTAGCCAGATGTTTACATGATTTCCCCCTGTTTCATTGCAAATATATCAGCAGAAAGGGTTGAAAGATAGAATTAGGCAAATAAGTGCAATATTTCCAGAATAAATAAATGTTGTTTTGGAGGGTAGGAGATTAAGAACCTAATGTATCTTGATTAGACTAAATATTAAAAATTAGCATTCATAAACCAGTGATCTAAAGGAGGTAGTTTTTAACACAAGTGACTTGTGAGAGGACTCATGTGGGCATGCAAGCTTATGGTGAGACAGCCAGCAGTTAAGTAATCCTGGCTTTGCAGAGCAGAGAGAGTTAAATGTGACTTTACTGGCCTCAAGTATGAAAGGGCAAATCATCATGTTTAATCGAGGAAGGGTAACATGACTTTGCTTTGCACATATATTTATGTTCTATTTTAGCATCACAATTATTTTTGCAGCTGTCAGAATTTTACAAAACCTAATAGGGAAATAGATTTGAATCTAGAATAGCACAGTACTTTGCAGGGGAGTCCAGTAAATAAAAACTCAGTGACTGACTGACCTTATTCATGTCACTGCTCCTAAGCTCCAACCCTTGAGCTAATGGGGACAAGGTTAATTAGTTGGAATAAATTCATGGGATTTTTTTTTTTTTAAGAAGCAGCCTGAACGTAAGTGATTACAGCAACACAAATGGATAAAGGGTAGAGCTGCGAAAAGACAAGACTGGCATATATGATCATGTTGACCATTTGAGGATGACGGGAAAGAGACTGCCCATTCTGGTCTTGAATAGTCAAGGGGCAGAGTCACCGAGTGAGAAGTGACCAAGCTATGCACGGGAGAGTATTTGAGTGGCGTAGAGCAGAGTTCAGAAGCTCCAGTAATTACATTTACCTTCCCAACTTAGAAAGACAATCCCAAAGATGCACATTTAACTCTTCTCTTCCTTCTGCAGTAAATATGAAACAAGGAATTATCCACAGGACCTCTACAAACAGCATTTAAAACGCATAACCCATAAACGCCCACTTAAAAAGTCTATTTATAGAAACTTTTTTTGGTACTGTACATGCTCTCAATGAGCTGCTAACCCAAAACTGCAAAGAGGAGTTTGAACACTGGAACTGTGGAGGGCAGAGTCCTTGACCTCTCCAAAGGTATCTAAGCCCAAATCCTAGAGGCTTTGCATACATTTATGCTCCTCAACAAGGGAAGACTAGAAGCAGAATTGAGGTCACTAATCAGTCGACCTTAAAATAGGAAGGTTTACTTAAATGTTCTAGGTGGCCTCAATCTAATCACAATGCTATTTCAATGATGGAACAGGAAGCAATGTCAGAATGAAATGATGTGACATTCTGAGACAGGGTCTTGTAATAGGGAGGCACATTGCTGACTGAGCCATCTTCCAAGCCCCAGTATTAATGTCTGAAAGGCAAGTTCATTGGCAACTTCCATTTGACTTTCTTAAGAACCATGTGTTCTGGGCTGGTAAGATGGCTCAGTGAGTACAGGCATTGGCTACCATGCCTGAGTTCCATCCCTAGACCCGATGTGATGGAAGAGAAGAACCACTCCTACAAGTTATCCTTTGACTTCCACCAACTTACAGTCCCTCCACTGACAGGATACTATTCTACGTACAAAGTCTTTCCTCTGGAATATTCTAGCAAGCTTTGAAGGAGGCCTGGGTCACTTTCCGGACACTCCCTCTTATAAGCTTGGTAGGGAGGCAACAGTGTCAGTATGTGAAGTGACTTTTACTAATGGAAGGAATCCCCTTGCTTCTAAATTTGTTCCTCCACAGCTCTCTCCAAACCTGAGCTCCAGAGCTTTCATGCCTACAGACATCATAGAGGTTCGACTAGGACATGACCTGTTCTCATTTGTTCCCCGTCGAGCGCTCCCACTTGGCTTGCCCTCAGGACCGCCAACAGGTAGATAACAAGCCATTGGGATATTCCCAGGATCCATCATGGAGGTGAAGTGCTGCCAACATTGGTTGCTTGGGGAATGTCAGTCCTCAGTGTCCTTTCAACACACTTGCAGTGCTATTCTTGTGATCACTGCCAATCTGTAGAAAATTACAGGATGGATTTTGTGAAGGGCTGAATTTGCATAGCCTTGTCCTCTGTTATTTATTGGCAATGGGAGAAGATTCTGCCTTTTACACACAATTTGTGTGGCTTTATTGGAGATTATTGGGTTAGAGTCACCCTGCTCACTCACAGGCCTGGAATTGTTATTCGTGTGCTGTCTGCTGAGGCTTAGCAATGAACCATCTTTTTTTAGATGGCCTTTTTAGATTGCTGTTTCTGCCTGCAAATAATTTTACACAATGCTTGCCCCCAATACACACAGAAGTCTAGGATTACATACATTTTAGATCTATTTCCCATTGCCAAATTCAGGACCCACTAATGACATCTGTCTTGGACTCAGGGCTGGGATAAATCCTCTTCACTTTGGTCCCTCATTATCACACAGTCTTTGTGTTTAGTAAAGGGAACAAATAGCTAAAGGAAGACATGGAGCCATGAGACCATGTCTGTGTTTCCTGAGTCTGGCTCTGTTTGTACCTCTGGTCAAGTGTGTGCTGTGACAGGCTCTTTCCAGTATGGTTCTCAGCCGCATCCTCTGCCCTCCAAATGTGCAGCACCAGCACCTTCCCTAAGTCATAACATTAAAATAATGTCCCAAGATACAGCCAAAAGTTCCCAAAGGGCACAAGTTCCGAAGTTAAAAGCCAGTACATTAGAGTGGTTCTTAACTTTCCTAACGTTGCCACCATTCAATATAGTCCCTCATGTTGCAGTGACCCCCAACCACAAAATTATTTCATTTCCACATCATACCTATAATTTTGCTACTGTTATGAATCATAGTGTGATGTAAACATCTGATATGCAGGATATCGGGTATAGGACCCCAAAGGGGTCATGCCCCACAGGTTGGGAACTGCTACATTAGAGGGATCAGAAATGCCCAGCTTCAGTCAACTAGTTAAGGGAATGATGAGCAGGCTTAGCTGTCACTCAACTGGGTGTATTACCTGTGGTCAAGTAATTGACAAGATTGTTGAGTTACAAGGCTCAGATATTTGGTCTTAGTTACATGCAAAAGTGTATGCACTCAGTAGATGACTGTGCTGGGGAGCTGGGCTTGTACTCTCTGCTTGGCTCTGCTCTTCAAAAACTGAAAAGGGGCTTCCTTTGCTTTCTGGCCGAGAGTGACGATAGCTCAGACCAACAGTGTGACCCCAGTGTATTTGAATGTGCTAAATAGAAATGGTCATAACCGCAATTTTTTAAAATTATTCTTGCTTTTGTTTAAAAAGATAAGGTTCTCAAAGTTAGGAAATGATGTAGTATTTTATTGACGTTTTCTTTAACAGATACGGCTCTTTCCTGACACTGGCTGCTACATGTCTTGATGGCATGATAAATAGAACCTGAGTCCAAGTTCATTACCATTTGCCCCCAGATAGCATTTCAAAATATTTCATATTCTGTTACCTAACTTTGAGGCAAGGGATGCCTAATTCTGTTACAATCTCTCAATGTGCAATTAGTACTTTATCTTTCCTAAACCAAAAGTTGGGTTAAGCTCCATGAGAAATGTAAAATAGTACTCAGTAACCACAGAGTTTAAATTTTATATCTCAAAAGTTAGGGTCTGTATCCATTTAACCTGTATTTTCTCCTTTTTCCTTCCTTCCTCTTCTTCCTTCCTTTTTCCTTCCTTCCCTCCCTCTTTCCTCCCCACTTCCTTATCTTTCTGGTTTTCTGCTCTCCTCTCACTGCTCTTTTAATTGCTTCTCAAAGTGTGGCCCATGGTTTACCCACAGAAATATCTACAAGGAAACTGGTTATAACCAGCTTTCTTCCTAACCTGAGAATTTTGGGAATTAAGATCTGATTATCTCTATGAATTAGCTAACCTTATTGTCCTCCTAGGTGTGCCCAGCCTTTTGACCCTGCAACAGAACATTGCCACTTGAGAACTGAACATTGTATTTTAACTAAGCTGACAATTTTGTGCTGGAACATGCACAGCTGTTCTATGGTGCATGTGGCCTGTGGGTGGCAGGTTGGACTCACCTGTGAGCTCTTGAGTTCTTTCCTCATTCTAACTTAGGGCAGCCAGAAGAAGCGAGAGGGATGCAGAGTGGGAAAGATGAGAGGAGGGCAGTGGCTCCAGTTCATGTGACAGGCACTTTCCACTGAGTAGTTCATGAAATATTTGTAACCCTGCCATGCTCTTTATAGAAATGTAAACGGAGGCCTGGCAAGGCCCATGCACTTGACCTATGACTTGAATTTTGTATGCAGGTGAAAGTCTCATTGCAAATCCATGAATCAGTACTTAGCTATGAGCTTGCACTTCACTGGGCTCTCAATACAATTATATTACATGTTTTATAGAGGGAACTCTTTTCGTATAAGATCTTGACAAAATACCACAGAGAAATGAACATTGACCATAACATCAAACCAACCTTTGCTTGAATTCTGGTTTGGTCATTTATAATTGGTCCCTTCCAGATTGACCTAGGGCATGGCCCTGTGCCTGTGGCTCAAAAGATAACCAGGTGATGGGAAGGAGGAGGCTGAAGGTTACACCTGCAAAGGACAGGCAGCCACTGTGAAGTAGGAAAGACACCTGGAAATTTCTACCTGACTAATACGAGAAGATTCATAGTCTGTAAGGTTAAGATATCTTTATTTGGATAAACACCAGGCAAACGCAAGCCAGAGTGTGCCAGGGGCAGCAAGGCAGGGAGGCCAGAGAGAGGGGGCTCCCATGTGCATTGTAGGGGACAGTGTAAGCCATGCCTGCTAGAAGCTGGCTACAGGTGTGCCTTACACTGTCCCCTACACCTGACTGCTGTTCATATCCCAGAACTTAGTGCTACAGATAACCAAGCTTGAAGAGAGGTTATATCATGTTTTTCATTGCTGTTATTTGTTAGTTTTATGTGGCATTGAGTCCACATAAAGCTCAGGGATGAATGGATATTTGGGGGATTCTCTCTGATGTTCCAATATAGTAAACATCTGTTGTTTTCCTTCTGTATGCTACATCACTTTTGCAATAGAGAAAAAATGTCTAAATAAATAGCTGGAGGGAGAAGGCTTTATCTCAGCCCTGTTTCAGAGGTCTCAGTCCATGCCATGGTTAGCTTGCTCCATCACCAAGGGTCTGAAGAGATACAGAACTTCTTGGCAGCAGGAAGGTGCATCAGAGAGAAGCTGCTTGCCTCACACTTCACAGGAGGCAGGGAGCAGAAAGAACAAGGAGAGACTGGGGACAAGATGTAGTCTTAAAATCATGGCTTATATCATGCTGGGTCTCAGACCTTGACTTTGCTCTGCTCATTAACCTTCTCCACCAGGCAGAGCTCTGGATCCAGTGAGTCTGAGAGGGTGTATGATTTGAGCCAAGCCAAACACATTAGATAGAAACAAATCCCAAGATTTGCCTTTGTCCAGGGTATCTGCCAAGAAGTACATAGACTATAAAGAGGCAAACTGAAGCCCTCGGAGATTAGAACTGTCTTAGAGGGGCAGGGACATGGCCAGGAGACAGGAGAAGATGCTGTAGTGTCCCTAGACATTTTCCTGTTTGAAGCTAGGAACTGCCTTAAATTTTATCCTATGAAGTTTTATATACAAACACCATTAATTTTCTTATTTTGATCAAGCTGATTTGAGTAGGATTTTCTATTTCTTACTTTTTTTAAAGAAATAGAATTCAATAAATGGTCAGTATTAAAATGCACATAGTAAGATACTTTCAATTCCCCCAACAACATACATCTTTGCACATAACAGATTCTCCAGAACTGATGACTGAAAGAATGGAAGTAAGTAGAGAAAAAAGGAAAGAAGGGAGACAGACAAACAGACAGCCTGATTGGCTGACTCAGGCCAATCCTATTAAGCTACAGGAATTTTGTTACTTTCTTTTGTTTCAAATGCCCTTTCTGGCCACATACGTATTTAGGAGTCCCAATTATGAAAACTATTCCAGAAGGCCTGAGATGTTTCTGAGAATTCCTCTTATAGACCTCTAGCTGCAGGAAGGCTGTGCCCACCTGTGAAAGAAGAGCCACACCCAATAGATTGATAAGCATCTTCATGACTTCCTGGTGACAGCGTGCAGAGGGGACAACATTTCATTATTGCCAGCGTGCACCCTCATGTAGACTACTGTGTAGCCCTGTCGGAAGTGGGCAGAGGAAATGATCCCGCAACAGATCTTTTCAAGGGGCAGGGGGCACAGGAGAATAATTCAAGTCCTCATTATGTGAACCGAATTTGCTTTAGAACCCAGTGGGCTTTCAATAAAAGGCACAGGCACCCAAATGGGTAAACAGAGAGCAAGGACCAATCGCCACATAGTCACAGCCAATTACATGTATCAATTGCAAACCTTCGTTTTATGGTGTTTTATTTAGTTAGATTTTGCTTTTGAGACAGAGTATTTCTCTTAACCCTGACTGGTTCTGACGACAGTTCTTCTGTCTCAGCCTCCCCAGTGCTAGGATTATAGGTGTGGGCCACTGCACCCTGGGGCAAGGTTTCTTAGTAACAGTGACACTTTTGGAGCTTTGCCACACAGAGTTAAAGGTACTGTTCTGAGCACTTAACTGATATCACTTCGCCTAATTCTCAAAGCAGCTCCTTGAAAGTTGTTCCTATTAGAATTTATGATAAGGAAACTTAGACTAGAGGGGCAATTGATCAGCTCATGGAAGCCAGTAATACATGCACCAGCATACCTTCTATTTAAATCACCTGAGGGACTGCCAAACACTGGTCACACCACATATCCAGCTCACTTCAGGGGTTTCAAGACTTTCACAGTAACCTTATAGAGAGCCTTTGGATTTGCTTTAGAAGAGTCCCGTTAAGTAACTCTGGCAGGCTTGTAACTTCCTGTATAGACCAGGCTGGTCTGTTCAGTCTAGAGCAGAGTGTGGGGTGGTCAGAGATAAGGTTGCTCACTTCAGCCTGTCAGCCAAAATTTCAACTGAATCCCTGCTAGTTCGATGACTAGCTGATGACCTCAGCTGATCACTATCATGTTCTAATAATTTGCTGGCAAACAGCTAATGTCAGACAAACACTAGATTACTAGCTGTAGATACATGGAGTCATTCCCGCCTCCCTTCCAATGTCCTTTGTGAATAACATCATTTATCCTTTATTGTCTATGACATACATGTGACAAAACTTTAAAACTTAAGAGGACTGTTTGGGGGCTTCAAACTGGATAACAGACAACCAGTGATAGGGTGTGAAAGAAACCCCTGGGACAGTGCCCATCAGGGTTCCTCACCGGCTTTGCCAATCTGCAGTAAGCTCATCAAATATGAAAGTGGATTTGGCAGGCAGGCCGGCCAGCTCTCTGTCCTTGAACTGTGGAAATGAACTCTCTTGTTTGTTGTTGTTAAGCACACAAAGAACAAACTCCCTATATGAGTGTCCTCAGAACAGGAAGAAAGAGTGCTATTGTCATTCAGGGCTTGTGACTAAGAAGGATATGGGGCACCAGCAAGTGACTGTGGAGGGACATTACAGCTACAGAAACCATCAAGGGTATATCACCTTGATTGTTTTGTGAATAATGATGTACAGCATGAGTAACTACTTACCTGCAAGTGGTATGCACACTAAGCAAACGTGTGTGTGTGTGTGTGTGTGTGTGTGTGTGTGTGTGTGAGAGAGAGAGAGAGAGAGAGAGAGAGAGAGAGAGAGAGCTTGCATGCACTCACGAGCATACATATGAGTGTATACAGCTATACCTGTATGTAGGTTAGATGACCCAATCCAGCAGGGATCAATCATATACTTTCAGCTTACCCGGCTTCTGTAAATTATGGTGTGAGCAGCATGCATTGCACCATTCTGAACTTTACGGACAAGGTCAAGGGCCGAACAGGAGCATGTGGCCTGAGACAGAGTTCCCTGCCCTTTCTAGTTGGGATTTACATCTTAATCAGAGGTGTACAGGTGGTCCCACACTCAAATTACTCCTTAATCTAAGTGTTCTTCCCAGGGGGAAAGAATACAAAAAACAATTATAAGAGAAAGCCATTGACTTGCCGCTTGTACTCAAGGGAGGAGGCAGTGCCCTGGTGCCTCCCTTCGTGGGTACTGATTTAGTTCTGGGGCCAATGCCTCTCGGCCCCTGTCCTCTGCTCTCTGCTTTCCTGCTTTCTCTCATCACTTTACTCCCCTCCTCTGTTGGTTCTTCAGCATCTTTTCATCCAGCTTTTTCTCTTGGTCTTCATTTTCATAGTCTCTTTCTCTCCTTGTTGTACACTATCCCCTGGCAGTGTGTACTGCGTATCTAGGCCACAGTGGCCATTCCCCATCCTGCTCAAGCTAATTCTATTACTCCCGCTTAACATATGTCATGTGGTGCCCCTTGAGGTCAGCATTCATTGTGAAGAAACAAAACAAGGTTGAAATGGTGCTCTTATGCAGAACTCGGAGAAAGCCAAAGAGGGCTTCCTTTTAGAAGCCTGATGGTTCCTAGAATCAACACATCACAGCAGCCCATGGGCAGGACTCTTACTTCAGGGTCCCTCTAACTCAAAACATCTAAAGTTATATCTTTGTAGTAACAGAGGTAGAGTAATTGTTAGCCAAGCACAGACACATCAGATCAAATAGTGCTTTTTAAAGGAAAAATGCATTTCTATTTATTTTTATTTTGTTTAATTATAAAGGGCTGAAATGTATCTTGGCCTATTCTCATGTGGTCTTAATCTGATAAAATAAAACAAAACTATAAAAAAAGTAGAAAGAATGAGGTAACTGCATGGCTGAAACCACTCTCTGAAGACACTCAGGTCTCACTACCAGGTTGTTGAGAGTAACCAATAGCATGGCCAACAGCCTGTGATGTTTGGTGGTTTCCATGGGACCCCTTTGGCCAATGACCTCAACAAAATGTAAACCATTCTTGGAAGTGGAGGTTTTACTTGGTAACATAAGAGTTCGTTTTTTTTTTTTTTTTGCGTTTGTCTTTTTTTTAAGTACATTTTTGTATTTAAATTAGAAACAAGCTTGTTTTACATGTCAATCCCAGTTCCCTCTCACTCCCCTCCTACTCTGCCCCCCCCCTCCCGCAGACCCCCTATCCCATCCTCTTTCTGCTCCCCAGGGAGGGTAAGG